AAAACTACAGATATAACTTATATTTTATAAATATGTACTAGTTGCGGAAGTTATTAATTAATTTTAAACATGTGTATACAAATCCCAGTTTAAAGCGAAAGTTTTGTAGTGGAATACAAGTTTGCAATAATGTAAAACTTAGCGAAGTCTCATTTCTTGATTCCCTACACAAGACGCAGATGGTGAAACCCTCCGGAAATTGAAGTTTGTTCTTATACAAAACTAAAACAGGTGAGAACTTTACTCTGTAGACTAATCTTGAAAGCTAATATGCTTTCTGGTAGTTTAAATCAACAGGTACTGTTAATTTATCTATTTTAATAAAACATGGTAACATTTCAAAGATGATCTTTCAATAAATATCAAAAAACTGCTGTACTGTACTAATACAGTACGTGATTTTACAATTCCCTACACTACACAGGATATAGTATTCCTATGCAATTTATTATATTCATAAAATATCATTTTACAGTATAATTTTAGGTGTATACTCAAAATGGACTAGTATATGTACACTATACGCCATTAGTAATTATTATAGCTTATTGAGGGATAGATAGCCAATATAGAAAATTTCTCCCCGTCAAAGAGTGACGATCTTTTTTGCCGGCTTTAAAGCTTAAGGGATGCTTTGGACCACCATGCATCCATCTGTCCACCATAATTTATCTTTTGAACCAACAATAGTAATTAATTCTGGAAACAAAAATACTGACACTGACTCGTCTAAATATTTAGAAATGTAGTCTAAATCCGTGATTGAAATAGTTATAAAAATACTCTTTAATTATCTTTGAAGCAAGGAACAGAGTAATTACGTACCTCAAAATGTATTTAAATAAAAATGTATAGCTTTGAAATAGTACAGAAGATTTTGCTACTGTAGTAATTTGTTACTATATGAATTCATCACAATTATGTTTCCCTTGATTAGGTTTTGAAGGATCATTGGTTGTAAAACCCCTTGCTACTAACCTGCAAACCTAGTCAATGTACAGAATTTTAAATTGAAATGCATTCAGAAATATCTGGAAACGTTTTCCAATAGAGATTGTGTGTTTTAGAAGCCAGTATTCACTCTGATAATCCGGGCACGTACTACTTTGGTCCGTTTGGTCCATCTGATGAACTGTTCTGCTTTTCCACACACTCTCTGTATTATTTAATGTTTGCAGCGAATAATTGTCAGATAACTTATCAATATTTCATCAGCATTAAAACAATTAGTGATTCGTATATTATCGCGACATAGTTGTACAATAAAAAATCTCGATCATAAATTTTTTTGAATCTTCTGAAAAAAATCTGCAATATTCTTGAAAGAATATTGCTGATCGGTTTAATAAGTACACATTTTATTTTAGCGAATTTCCCATATAGGGAATAAGCTATTACCGTAGGTCTCATGGTAAGACCTAGACCCGGGACCGATTTACTTTTTCGTTTTGAGGTCCCCAGAGGCCAAAAACACCATCCGTTCAAATTCATATATATATATATATATATATATTTATATATATATATATATATATATATATTTATATATGTGTCCGTTAGCGCGATAACTCGAGCAAAATTGATCCGATTTTGATGAAATTTGGTACAAACGTGTAAACCTACATTTATTCGAACGAGTTCGCAAACCAGCATAATCGGACCATGGGATCAGGGGTTTATGGGGGGTTTTATGGGGTAAAAATGGGTTTTTCTCATTTTTGACCCCAAAAACTTTAAATTTCTAAATTTCTCTCTAGACCATTTTGAAGAGCTTAAAAAAACAAATAATTTAGTATATTGAAGTTTTTTTAAATGTTCATTGACTACGGAGAAAATTAAAGAAATTGTAAATTTAAAATTCCCATGTTATTCTTATGGAGAATAAATAAACTGTTCTAGTTTGCTTGTTTATGGATATATTTTAATCAAATTTGGCAATTTGGCTTATTTCATACTAAGCTATCAATATTTCAATTGAAAAAACACACCTCAACATCTTTCCCGTAGCAGCAAACCTAACTACTCACTAAAATTAATGTTATTTAAATAGGAAATAAATCTGAAAATTTATAGGGAATATTTTAGTAGAAATCGAGCCTGGTGAATGGAAATTCGCTTAGTATGCAGGTTTGCTGCGACGGGGGTATTTACTATTTATTTCTTATATCTCTACAACTGTTTCAACCAAATAGAAGCTCTGCAATTTACCTTTAAGAAAAAGCGCATGCTTGATTTTTAAGTTGTCTATCTCCATAAGAATTTAAACATAGTCGATTGTCTTGGATATTTATTTTCGCATAATTGTAGAGTGTTTATTATTCAACGATGTCACTATGTAGGTTGATCTTACAATTAACATAATTTAAAGTTATGGAAAAAGTTTTAACATGTCTTTTGAAAAAGGTCTGTCAAGCAAGTCAGTTTCACACATAATTTGTTTTTGAACATCTAGATTTAATTTGATTTTAGAGGCTGTTAACTACAGTAACTAATTTCAACATTGATCTAGTGCCAGCATTTCTTGTCCCACTGTAGGAACAATCGGCCTAAACTTGGTCCAACTACACGCACAACTTAACCCCCCTCAATCGTAGATCTCTCTAAATTATACTTACGCTTGATTGAATTCCACTTAAATAGCGGTATTAAATATTATAGTAGCAAACATCATCTGATGATAACTTTCCGAAAAATACAATAACCCAAAATAGTATCTTATATTATCTAAATTTGAGACAAAAATATTATAAAAACTACAGTTTTTGACAAGCGTGCTTTTTTGAGCATCTTCTCTTTTTTTTAATGCATGTCTCCAAAAATCATGAGATGTTACGTCGACAGCCAATATAAATTCCAAAATAATTATTTTTCCAAACAAATATACTCGTCAATCATTGTTGTACAGGAGTTGTGAAAATTATTTCAAATAATTCAACGCTGGTGCAAAATAGCAGTTGAGGGAATTGGATTGAATTTCAATAATTAGTAGTCAACACAGTATATAAATAGTATGTTTTGATTCCAAACAGACTGACTTTTATGTCTATTGTAAGAACATAACTGGCGAAATGGCGTGGTAAATTTTCCCATTAACCTTTTTTCTAGTCAAATTTCACCTTTATGCCCAAATAAATGGTTCTTACCATTATATCAGCTGGTCTGAGTATCAAAGCTACCCAAAACGTTGCAATTCATTCTAGATTCATCAAACACGTATACAATCTTGCTTAAAATACGCAACCTTGTCATTGTGGTGATGAGTAATTCTTTTAGAAATTTCCTAATATTTATCAACAGATTATATTTATTTTGTCTAGTTATAAAGTAATTTTCAACACGTCATGGAAATTATCGTTATTTGAGATTGCCAGTAGTCGTATTGAATTCTTGAAACTGAAGTATTTGAAAATATTGCAGACAATAATTATTTTAAATACATAAACCCTTAAAAATAAACAAATCATAAATACAACAACATTATAACATATAATAATCATAATGTTTTATAATTATAAATCTTCTTAACAAATTAAATGACACACCATTAGAAAATTTAATTACTATTGAAGTGAATATAATTTTGACTAAGAGCATTGAACGGCTGCAACTATTATCATTTATCAGCTGATGTAGGACCCATTACGTAATTAGAAGTTCTGTTTGAATATCTGATTTCTGAAACTACATACCTTAAGAAAGGTAAACCCCTTAATTAAATGCTGAAGTAATTAACATGTACTTTGAAATAATTAATGTTGTTGTAATTAGATCTGGAAAAGAGAAAAGTTGGGAATTTCCCTGCCACGAGTTGTGACAGTTGGGGAGTCAGAGATACAGGAAAAATATATTTTTAAACGAAATTTAATTTAAATATTTGCAAAAATCCGTCAAAATTTAAAATTCATTTGACTTGGATAAATAAACTTGATGTTTCTTCAACTAGCATTTACCGGTACATTTGATTAAACATCTTAGGCTTAATTTAAGAAATCAATAATCAATGAATTGTTGTTGAGCAATGTTGATTTCTCGATGAACTAGACTAGGTTATAATAATATTATTCACAACACTGATATTAATATTCCATCATTACAAACTTGTTTAGGCCTAGGTGTAAGTTTTATGAAAGTTAAAATGTTGATCTTAATATCAGTTTCTAAAAGTATTTTAATTTCATTATTTTGTATTTTTATTTTGTTCAGTATTTTATTTTCATCATTCCCATACTAATTTGTACTAGCCTATTTCCCCCCCTAAAATATAACACTGCTACTTCTGCTACCACAGTGGTTTGTAAAGTTTATTCGAATTGAAACAATACTTATTCAAGTTTTTTGGAGTCATAAATCTTTATGAATTGGTAGAACTTTTAGACGTTTTTCGAATTGAGTCATTTTGTATAATGCATGTAAAACTAGCTATGTTTTATAAATACAATTTAATAAATACTACATTAAGTTTGACTGCAATAGTGCAGTGTAGTATAATAATTTGTAGACTTTTTAAAAATAGTACAGAAATGTATTTCTTCAAGTAAAAAATAGTTGGAAAATCTATATTAAGCAAAATTTAGGCTTCTCCCCCCCCTGGAATTTTATCAAGCAACACCACTGTAGCCAACCCCAATGTATTTGTACCAAACCCATACATTATGAGCTGTTAACTAAACTCCCAACGATTATTCAAATCAAACGTTTTAGTGTTATTATATGATCAATCCACAATAGTTGGAGTAGTTAATTCGACTGGAGAGAAATAAATAAACAGATACAGCTATTTAAAAAAAATCCGACTTACATTTGACCATATAAAATGCTAAGGAATTTAAACATTCGTATCAACTATGCCAAACGATAGCAGGGCGGAAATATAATACAAATGTTAAATTGTTATAGATGACCTTGTACACTTAATCGTGTAATTTTTCCTGTTTTGACAGAATCAGTGCATCAGGTAATAACAGTTTGATAAGGATCTTCGACAAGCAATGCAGCAAAAACAACAAACAAATATCAGTCAGCATCAAACATCAAACAATCGTCAACGTATGATCTGTAACCATGTATGCGTTGCAATTGTTTGTTCTAGTGGCTGTGCAGAGTTACGTAAGAATTTCAGCTGAGGATACGCCAGACGCAGTGAGTATACAGGGTGAATCAGACCACTCGTGCACATACTTTAACGGGATATACAGCCGCTTGTGTAACTCACTGGCTCACTGATCAGGTATACAAATGTAGGTTTACATTTCTAGGGATCTGAAATTTTTTGTGTAGGTCCGTCTCGGTCCCAACCACTCAGGGGATTTAAAAATCTTAAAATTTTAAAATTGCAACACCCCCCCAAATTCCCTTAAATCCCCCTTTTCGAGAAAAAAAAACTGTTTTTTAAACGGCTATAGCTAAAACGGTAAGAGCTAGGCATAGATTTAAAGAGATTTTCATGGTCAGGAATTTCATTTTCTACAAGACATCATCAGATGTTTTTCGAAAATCACCCTCCTTCACCTTCAAAAAACGCTCTACTTCTAAAATTTGTTAAATTTCTTGGAGTTTCGACGTGTTTTTAATCTTTAAAATTACTTTTCGGACATATATTTGTACTTTTAATCATCCCAACATTGAGAGAAAAGTGCCTAAATTGACATTTTGAAATTGTATCTAAAAAATAATTTAAATGGCAGATTTTAAATAAAAAGGTTAGTTTTTAACCCTTGTTGGGCCAAACCGTTGTGCATGGATGGTCTGATTCACCCTAGAATTGTGTATGGTGTTGCTAAACTTGGAGTTTTACAAAGATAAACAAACTTCACAATGAAAGGTTATCCATTGTTGATTTAGAACAGTTGGTAATGTGCCAGTTTATTGCCATGGCAGTGGTGTTGAGGATGTACTACCATTGAATATATGTCATTATATATAGCCAATAATTGTATGTAATTAATTATATTTTCTAGGGCCCTTACAAAATTCACGTAGCAAACGTTGGACAGTGTGCCGAAGTTGGGAAAGTGTTCACCGCCGAAGCCATAAAAGAATACCAAGATGGCGACCAGAACAGACCTTGCTTTACAGGAAATGTGAATCTCACCACAGATCTGAACGATGAATATACGGTGGGGTTACATTAATTTAATTAGTAGTGTACACATTAATTTACTTTTGCACATAAATTGTGCCTATTATTTGCACAAACAACCTCTAGCGACAGAAAACATGCAAAGAAGAGAGCTTGCAGTTGTTTTATTAAATTCATATTAGACTAGATAGATAAGAAAACACATTTTGGTTAGTAATCCTTTCGATTAATGAGTGCTTATGCGTGATGCTTCGAAGACTATACTTCAAACAAACACATATTTTTGTTGATGAATCAAAACTATTAAAGACCTAATGCTGTATTTTAATAAAAAATATGTATAAAATAATAAATCTGTTAGTTTATGTTCCTCAGTTTTAATGGGACCCTAAATAGGCCAACTAAATTTAGCTGATTAATTAAACTGATTAATAAGCTTAATTATTTTCATTAATAAAGGCATTTGATTTGTTAGGTTGTAAATAACAGATTTTTGTAACTAAAACAAACAGCAAGTTTATTTAAATTCGTCTCTTGCAACGGCCTTTGCATAGGAATGTAGTTAGATAGTTGATACTATTTTTCTATGATAATTAAGTCAAATTTAATTTAAATAAACTAAAAAATTACAATCCATATAACTCTTGTAACAGTTATTTTTGTCTCTTATTTCAGTTGAAGGTTCAAGTTCAAAACATGGTGAATAGCTCATGGAAAGACCTAATGAGCTTTGTGTTCAAGAAAGCTTGCAGTGATACCATAAAATATGAAGCGAATTGGTTTGAAATAATGAAGAAAGTGAACATCCATGTAACTGAATGTCCCATACCAAAGGTTAGTGTATATCCAATCAATTGGATGGCCTATAAAATTTAAAAAGGCTTTAAATCTATACTTATTAATGCAGTGAAATTGATAGGCCTATAAAGGATAGGTGTGACGATTAGTTTTGATGTTAGGACACCAAAGTTAAATTATGTGTACTGTGAATTTTGTTGGATATTATTGTTTTATTTTAGGTTGTTTCTATTCAGACCTACTGGAAATTGTGTATAGTAGTTGTATTTTGGTGATAATAATTATGGAAGAGGCAGGTATGCTATGGAAGGTGGAATCGTTCCTACTCTCTCTATCGTAGGCTACTTATAATCAGTGTGCGTCTGTGCGAATCGGCTGCAAATCTCACTTCAACGCTTTTGACATAGTAAAAATTGCAGAATTGCTGTTTTATTGTAAAATTATCGGATTTAAAATGCATATCGTATAGGCCTATGATGGAATAAAAACATATTTGGTCTCACAACATTTGTTTACAAGATGATTTTTCACATTAAAACTGCAAAAAACTTTGCCTTTATTTGTGTAAACTAGCTGATCTGAATTGTACACGGTTTTAACTGACTACTGAATTCCCGTACGTAGGACGGGCTAACACCTCGTACTTATTTAATACGCAAGCAGGTTTTTTGTGTCAATTACTCCTCCGAAACTACTTAACCGATTTTCATGTTCTTGGTGTCATTGGAAAGAGCGTAAAGTGAAGTTGTACAAGAAACTTTCTTTTTAGGGAACCCATTAGAATTTACAAGAAATGTTGATTATATCGATCTATTATGTACATCTTGAGTGTTCCATAATCTTTGAGTAGAATCTTTTAAAGTCATAAAAAATTATGACTGTTGTTTGTTTCAAAATAACGCCTGTAATACTTAGAATTTGCTCGATTTCGAGCAACAGGGACACTAGTTAAAAATAAATAAAGTAGGTTGGTTGAAAATATCTATATATATAATTTAAAATAAATATTATTAAAAAATCTTAAGTTTTTTATTTTTTACAAATTGTAGTAAGTAATGCACATTTTGAATACCTCCTAAATATATTTTCTAAGTCAATGTGTGAACTGTATTAATAAACAAAGAAAAACAAACATGTATTGAATTACAAAAAAAACATGTAGTTAGTACTGCATAATGGTGCACTGCAGTGTGTCTACCAATGCCTGGTTTGTCAATTGTCTTTCAAAACTATGTTTCAGGGATTCTACCAGTTCAAATGCGTGTCACTTGAAGGGGTTCAAATAGCTAGCCATAAAACGGTAAAATATGGAAAGTACCGTATCGTGGAATCAGCTTGGGATAAAGACACCTTACTTGGATGCGTAACTGTAGAGGGAACCGCTTCGCCTAACTAACGCAAAGGAATTAAATTCTATTATTGCATTTTATAATATTTTTTCTCCCTGGCTGTTATATAATTTACTTATAGTTTAGTAGATATAATTTACAAAATGGTTTTGAGGCTTGTAGAGATCTTTTAAACAAGATAGAGCCGTTTCTATCATGCCTTGCCTCAATTTTTCCTCCAGGAGAAATTTCAAAGCTTAGTGTGAACGCTGATTAGGTCATGGATTTGTAATATAGCAATTTCCCTTGTGCGTGCTAAAAATTCAATCCTGGCTTCTAGTACAGTAATCTGACACTTTACATTAAACCATCTGCGGCCACCCTAGTTGCAATTGAACGTAATTGTAAGTTGTAAGATTTAGCTAATTCTATGGATAGCTCTGATTTTCATTTGCGAAAAACATTTGTTATTGTAGGCTAAACGAGTGTACTTAAAGCTTTTCGTATTTATAAACTAAAGGCTTTGAAAAATTTCCTGTTAATGAAAATTTGCAAATTAAAAATGTACTCCGGCAGGAAATATGTCAGTGAAAGAAAATACGAGAGGTCAGAAGTGTAATAATACATGAAACAGTGTTGAGATGCTTGATGGCAGTTTGGATGAGGAAAATGTAGTGGATGATCTCTATTTGGCTGAAAATGATGTTATATTATGTAAAAATCGTGTATAAAATATGAATAAAATAAAATAATAGTACACATCATCATTTGACATTCAGAGACTTTTTACACGAGCTGTCGAGGATTGAAAACACAATTAGACCGTGTAAAGAACTATATTTTCCTTTGCACTAGAAAATTGTATAAAGAGCCAATTATTTGACAACATTTAAATTTAGTTTAATTTAATGTATTAACTATCAAAATGAGTTCAATCTAGTTTCGCTTCAAATTATAAACAGCTTTTTCCATCATTTAAAAATTTAAACGCTGTAGCCTACTCTGTCACGCAATATAAACATTATTATTTTTCCAATTTGTTAAATTAATGTCGATTAAGGTGTGTATGTTGTAGTAAAATATACGACATGTCTCGTTGATGGTAAATGTTAATATAATTTATATTTTTTCGACAAAATCAACAGAGGGATTTAAGGTCAGATAATGGAAATCTGATGTCCTCAATTATAGCTAACCCTACTTTCCCTTGCGATAAAAAGGTTTACACTTACTTTAACCCCAACCCTGCCACAAATGTCTTCAAACAGTATTTTTCACTACAGAAAAAAAATTAACATACACCATATATAGACATTTTGTAAAAAAAAACTAATCCTTATCACTCTAATTAAAAAAGTTGTTGTATAAAAAGTAATTTTTTGTTTATTATTTTACCTGGGGACTGCAACATGAATACTTAATAACTTCTATCTTGAATAAGTAAAATAAATAATGGATCCCTGAAAACAATCTGAAGAAAGATAATTCTACGACTATTAAAGTCTAATTAAAAAGCCATTAAGAAGCTCAATTGGGATAAGAAGTGGGACTTTTCGTGATGAATTCTTAAAATATCAGAGTATTCTTAGGAGCGCCAAAATCTTAAAGATTTACAATACTTAGTCAGTTACTTAGTCAATTACTTTAGTCAGTTACAATTTAGTCTTTATGGATTTTAATGCAAACGAACTGATATATTAGGTATTAATTTATAACTTGAAATTATGTATCAATATTTTAGTTCAGCTTAGTACTCATTAGCTTTTGCAAGCGTTTTTGGCCTTAGAAACAGGTCAAAAGTCAGTTTTAAAACATTTAGAGTACGGTATTTAATAATACTGTAATAAATATGCAAAACATGTATTCAGTTCGTTGTAAAAAGTAAACGTTATTGATTTATTTTTTTTAATACCATACGAGAATATTATTAGAGCTAAATATTAATTTTCCCTTAATTAATTATACAAATGATTAATGCCAAAATACTATAAGAAAATACGTAGGGCGTATTAAGTGTAAAACGCCATTGTATAAAGTCAGAACTAACCTCTTTTCATTAAAAGGCCAAACAAACCAAAGCCACACGTGACTAGAATTGTTATGCCCTGGCTCTGGGCATGGTCTAGTACTGTGTTTATGGCTTGTCCTTGTATACAATAACGTTGTTATGGTATTTATAGTTTTTACTCTATTTGTTATTATTGTATGTTCAGGAATTGGTTGCATTTTTCTCAGAATGTATGTTGTTTGGTTTTAGTTCATCGTTGGTGCAAATTGATGTTGATGGATCAATATAAACTCAACGGAAATTTGCCTAGGTGGAATTAAGTAGTTATGGAACAAGCATTCTACATTTCCGTATTAAATTCACAAATAAAATTTAATTTTTTTACTTTCGCTTAGATTTTCGTTGTCATCATGTATTCATAATCACTATAAATGCAATAGAGCAAGAATGTTGTATTACATATGTAGATAATTAACATTCAACTTTTACAACATTAACAAAACGTAACACAGCTATTTAGCTTATTTAGCTATTTAGTTGTTTGTTAGAAATTTTAATTAATTTAGAGTAAAAACAATCACTATAAAGGAATATAAATTTTAAAAAACTTCAAAGGAAAAGAAGAAGATAGTGTTCACCAAACAGAAGTAGTAGTTTAGTAACTTATCAACGTACGTAATTTTGTATATAGAAGTTTTGAATTCCAAAATCGTAGCCGTGGTCACTCCTGGCTACCATGGTAGACATAACCACTGCAAAGTTACAACTTCGGTAGAGTTAGTTATACTGGAGTCATCTCACAACTTGTAACACCTGGATACTCCGTTCAGCTCAAATTTGATGGTTTTGTTAGACGAGAGTTTGCTAACTAATAAACTGAACATTTCACTTTAGGTCTGGAGCTGTTCGTAATTGAGGTTTAAATATTATACTCCTCATTCGATTTACGATTAGGAACTATTTTCTGCGCCTTACGTGTCGGTTAACACTTATGTTTTATTTTAAGACAATCTTAAAGCGAGAGCTTTGCGATTTTTATGTGAATTTCAGAAGAAAAAAAGGCAGTTTAGAAACATACGAGATCGTTAATAATAAACTGGAATAACGAAATCCAATGAATAATGAAAATACGTACTGAAACCTATAAACTTACTTATAGCATTCCCGGACATAAAAATAACTAAACGATATCTTCAGCAGACCCAGTTGTAAGTAGACCCATAAAACTAGTAGAGTTAAATTCCATTTTATTCAAATCGTAGAGACACACAACATGGCCAAAGTAAAATCTCTAACCAAAAATCTAAAAAAAAATCGAATCTTCTATCACATGTTACATTCAACAACACAACAATACAACAATCATTCAACATTCAACAATAGTTTATTTCTCCATTGTTTTTCTATACCAAATGGTGATTTGTTTTTAGAATAACACAATAGCACAATTAGATATTGTTTTTGTTATTCGGCTCAAAGTTTATCTTCTCTTGCTCTCTTGACAGCCAGGAAAGGACATCGGACTCAGAAACTACGATAAAGCTTCGTCAGAATACAGAGACTGCTAACAAGACCACCCTTGTAAGAGGGATGTTTCCGCAAACAAGTCTACCCTTAACATGGAACCCGTCTGGTTTAAAATACAACATGAACAAGACGTCTATCCCAACTGCATGGCTTTGTTAATTAGACCATAACATACCTTGTCTTGTACAAACGTCTTACGAGTGGTTAGGTAAAGTGAATTTTACTAGCTATAGCTTATATGTATTGCAAAGCGATTGTTTATAACATCCGTAGAATATGTTTATAATTGAGACACAACAAAAAAATTCCTTGGTTTCGAAGTAGGGCAGCCACTAATTTAAATCCAAATTTAGTTATTTTACCTTCTCGTACATTGTACATGGAGAAAGTATTGCTCTCGTCAAAATTTACGAACTTGAGTTTAAATATTCGTTTTGGCCCCCTGAACCCAACAAAGTGTTGTTCGAAGTGATTGGCATGCGGGTACTAATGTATAGTACCTCCAGGCATTAATGTTTTTTCCAAAATTTCCATTTTTAATGGGGATTTTTCTAATGAATAAATTAACAAAAATCAGATTTTAAAAAATCCAAAAGATTGTAATTAAAATTTAGTGTGTATTTAGTGTTTTATCTCTAAAAAGTGATACAACCCTCGATGCTGTATAAATTACCGTTTAAAAATTATTGCAGCTTTTGTGATTTTAATGAAAGATAAAGGGATAAAGTATGTGTCAGAAACAATCTTAGATCTTAGAGTCATTGTTAGGTAGAAAGATATAAGTTTACATTAAGAATAATTTTTACCATTGCTTTGCTGTATATATTTTAACCCTCCATTTTTAACTTTACACCACATTCACCCTTTTACACCGAATTATCTTTACACTTCAGAAACTGCTACTATTCTCTTTTTTACTATGCTGTTACTATTCTCAACATAGTAACAGGTGACGTAATATTATAAAATAGAGTTTTGGCTGTTTGTGATTTTAATATACAAACATTGATGAAACCGCTGTTGTAATTTGAATTCGGTTCATGTTAAATTAATCATAGGTAAAGTGAGAGTTATAATTTATTTTTTTTTACTATTGAATGTAAATTATAACTAACCACAAGAAAATAGGCCTGTCTCACGTTTTTAAGAGAAAGGTGAAACATTTTTTAGGTGTTGTCACATCGATAATGAATTTACATTGATGCTATTTGCTACAGATAGTAAGATTTTTGTACTGTATATTTCATTCAACCCGCACGAAGAAGGGGTACACAGCAGCTAGTTACACATGAAATATTACTTTTATGACTTGCAAATCAAACTACAAACCAGCAATATTTATATCAGTAAAAATAATAACGTGAACATAAATGATAAAGTTAGTGTAGCAATATATCAACATCAGTTCTTTCAAGACCCACCCGAGAATATAAGCAATATCGCCTGCACAGCTTTACTGGAAGAGTTATATTCTTATTATATTCACAGTTCTACATTGAACTTTGTTTTTATCATTTTATTCTGCTCCTATTGTTTTTTAAATAATCGTGGGA